CGGTCTAAGGACTTCCCTCGTCCAAGGACTCAAACACAGAGACAATATATATGTGACAATCTAAGTCGAATCAAAATGCTAAGCAGCATCTCCTCCCCCACCATGCACAGCTTTTAGTTCAATTTTTTAGACTACCCCTTTTAATAAAGTGGCAATATTGTTACCTAGTAATCACTAAAGCATACAGCTTTAGCGTTATTACTGTTTCTCAGCCTAAACAATTTGAGGCAAAACCACATATTTTCATGGGTTCTTTTCCCTCCCCTACTCAGACTTCTGAGACCAGCAAGCAAGCTGAAGAGAACCAGGTTCCTTGCCTTGCTTTGGAGCATCGGTATGCTTGGAGCTGGGAAACCTGGAAGCGAAGGTAAATGGAAAACAGAAGCAATCCATTAGGGAAGTGGACTCAAAACTGAAAAGCAATTTTGAATGCAGTGACAAGACACATCCTTGAGCTTCTCTGTCCAGCAAAACACAATTTTTACAAAAGCACAAACGCAAAGGATTTCAGCAGGAGTCTGATAAAATTTAAACCCTATGGCTGGCCTTGTAGACTAGGTAGCAGGAATGAAAAACATTACAGAAAAGCACTGGGATAACTGGAAACAAGTTAAAGGTAAACTGGCGGAGCAATGAAGTAGATGATATCACCAAAGCAGCCAGCAAGAGTCAAGAACACTCAGCAAATATTTAATAAATGTCATTACCAGTGTCCAAGTAACATGTTCAATTACTATTTCTTCATGGTTTGTGACAAGCTTTCCCATTTGGAACAGGCTAGCAACAGATAATACTCAGGAAATAAACTATTCTGGTAATATTACTGTGTGTACTCAACCATAGATGCAAGACAAGCAAAAATATGGTCCCAAGGGTTGGGGGTTTTATATTATACATATATATATATACACACAAACACACACAATGCCAAAGAGTATTTCCTTCCAGTAAATACAAATACATACAATGCCAAGGAATGTAACACAATCACTCCTGTAACTGGAAAAGGACACCAATGAAATGTTTTAACCCCAAGATTAAGTTGGCTCAGCTGGGCAGTGAGCATTCAGGTTTTCAAGCCCTGAAGTGAGCACCACGTTCGCGCACACTTACGCCACTTAACCCAGACAGATGCATGCCATCCCTGAGAAAACATGACGACCAGTTACTGTGACTTTACAAAAGGTTCAGCATGGCATACAAGCACTAGAGAAACGTTTCAAGCAAGCCAAAAGTGCCAGAAATGAAGACAGTAGTCTTTCAGTGGAGCATGCACAATATTCAGCTCATCAGGAACATAAATGCCCCACATGCAATTGTCAGTTTGCCCTCCTTAAGCTGCGCAGCAAGTTTTAAGAGACAACATACTAACTCCTTTTAGCACAAGTTATTTGTTAAGCACATTTGTGAGCAAACCATGTTACATGCTCTTGCCTATTCTCAGCTCTGGAAGATGAAAGAAATTTGGCCTAGAATATTTGATCCTATCACATATTATGTACTTGGTGGCAAGCTTTTGTCTCAATACTTTGTTTTAAATGTGTTTGGGCACGTTCATGTATAGAAAGTCAGCAACTTCCTCAGATTTGAAACCTACAAATGATCCTACAGGGTAAGTTTCAGGCACCACACCAAGTTTCTGAATCACAGATACACCTAAAGATGACTTTAAAAAGTCTACATCCCAGAAAGCACAAAGCCATTTCAATGAGAGATTAAGAGGGCAATCTAATCTAAAACCATGGACTCCTGCTCAATTTTAACCTTTATTTTTAACAAGTCCTACCCCTCACCCGTGCAGTTCAACATGTGATTTAAGGTTGCAGAGTGACATCTACTCTACCTTTTCAGCAGTTCACAAACAGGCAGCTCCTGCGCTGCCAACTCTGCCCACGGTAGCAGGCGAAGAGAAAACCGAGCACTCGCCACGGGAGCAGAAAGTCACATTTGCTCAAGCTGTTGCTTTTGAGGAGTGTGCAAACCACAAGGCAGACAAGTTACCTTGTCTCAGAAAGACCTGACAGGTTGGGCAGAGCTTCCTTCCAGAACCATCCATGCTCTAACACAGGTCCGTGGGACCCGCAGATCTTTTCCAATTCAGATACTCCAGGGGTTCGTGAGGCAGCCTGGAGTTCAAGCCCCTGAAGAGCCGGGAAAAATGCATTTCTTCAAGACAACCCACTGCCATCTGCATCAACCCAAATCTCTCTTACCAGCCCCTGTTACTAGGTAACTTCTGAAGAAGTTCATCAATCTTCAGATGTCTGTAAACACATCACTCCTCGCTAAAAAAACACCTTGTCTTAAGTGCATTGTTGTTTTCCCCTTTTTTTGCATTAATGGGATGATGCAGCACAACAAAGCAGAAAGTTGCATCTTGACCAACTCGACGATTAACATATGCAAGAAACTACTTCTTCTGGTTTACTCTTTTTGATAGTAAGTCACCATCAAAAGGCAAGCAATGAATGAACCTAACTTCCACTACAGAGCTCATCTGCAACGCACATCAGGAGCCTGGTGTACTCAACCTGCTGTGTCCCAACCTGGATGCTGATGGATGCTCCCTGGGCTTCCTGAGAACTTCTCGGTGCTGACCACAAGTTCAGTCCCTCACACCTGCCAGTCGTCTTCTACTTCAGGACAGTCTGATGGAGATCGCACTACACAAACACAGACTGCTCAACAACCATTTCCTCCCAAGGGTATAAAATATACGTATGGTTTTCTTTCATGCCTCCATTCCATTAAGTAAATGACAAATTCCTCTGGTATTCTGAGGTAATTTTCAAAATGCATTTCATGCATTTTCTAATCCATCCGCTTTCTAAAGCCAAGTCCTGAAGCAAAACCAAAGAAATTACAGGATGGCAAAGTTAAAATTTAAAGACTTAAAAGATTTGGGGATTTTTTTTTTTCACCCCTAAGTTCAGACAACCAAAGGCACAGCTTAATATCAGCAACAGAAAGTCGTCAAATGCACATGCTAAAACACGCTATCAAAATATGAAGAAAAGCATATAATCCTGGAAAGCCGTGTCTTACACATTTCACTTTATGCAGAAAATCTGCAGTTGCTAAAACTTACTCTTCCTAACTGGGTGGCATTTTACATTTCCAAATGTAATTGAGTGAACATGTTGCCATGGTTACAGTAGGATTCTGCAATAACTTTGTTGCCTTGTAATTGATGTATATTTGTATACAAGCAGCTGAGCTTTCTTAATTCAATGCCCTCTTAACTCTTTCAGAAAGACTGCGGAGTGACAACGGCAGCTTTTAGGCTGAAAACTCCATACAGCAGTGGTGGAAACATCAGAAATGATTAAAACTCAGTGCCGTGACAGACCGCATAAAAAAAAAAAAGAAAGAAACCTTGCCAAGAACCAGATTATTATATAAACTTCAGAGCTCCTTAGGTTTTAAAAATGTTGCCGTTAAAAAAAGTCCAATTCAGATAATTAACTCCAGGTAGCTTTTGGCAACAACCAAAAGCACTTTGACCACAGCGAATACAGCACAAGTCCCATTTATTGACAGTACATAATACCAGTAAATCAAAATGCATTGGCAAGGAGATTATTCACTCAACAATGAAATTCACTGTAGCACGGAGAGCCAAAATAATACTTGCTCCATCTCTTCAGTCTTAAATTAGCATTATGAAGACAACAGAATACAGCTGTTAGAAACAAGCACGAAATAAAGCTGCCTGAATATCCCTGTTGAGAAGAAATGGAGAACACTGGAGAGCGCCTATACCCCGCTCCACCACCCTGAGCTGCACGCCCCATCCCAGATTTACAAGTGATTTTCACATCCTGAATCCACCCACACCTTTCCAACACAGATCCCACTTCTCAGGCACATTTTTAGACTTGTAATCCAGTCTGGAATATCAGGCAAGCCTGTAACACGAAATCCGCTCTTATGGCCAGAAAACAAGCGTTTGCGGTGACAAGCCTAATTTATGCAAATCCTCCAAAGCAGGCTGTTGACAAGCAAACAACCACCAAAAAAAAAAAAAAAAAAAAACCAACCCTTCCACTATCGTGAAATGCCTGCACAAAACAATTACGCAAGTGTTTTGAATAAAGGGCAGGTTTACTTCCCTTTAACTGGTACGCCGAGCTATACTGTCAAATAATTGTTATGTAAATACATTTGCTTGCTTAAGATGTCATGCTGCCTTTGCCACGCCACCAACATTCTAAAGATAACATTTAAGGTGCCGAGGGATTGCACAGCATCTTTCCTGATAAATTCCTGCAGCAAAACCCACACGCAACCGCTCAGCAACACCTCCCTCCGCGCTCCTCCGATCGCATTCTAAGCTTTTTGTTGTTGTTGTTAATTTGTCGTTGCACAGACCGACACTTTCCATTCCGGAGCAGCATACGCTGCGCACTTTGTTCACCACCAGCTCCCCCCCAAAATGCACGTTTTTGGGGGGGGGGGGGGGGGGGGGGGTGCAGCCGTAGCCTGTGGCTGAGGACCGAGCCCTGCCTCGGTTCGGAGCTGTCATTCTGCCTCGCAACCCAACGTTACCTCAGGACTTCCGAAAAGCGCGGCGATGCTGAGGAGAATACCCCTCCAAGTGACAAAATAAAGCTATTTTAAATGATTTTTTTTTTTTTTTTTTTTGGAAGAGATTGGTTTTCGGGGCAACCTCGCCGGCCCAGCCCCGGAGCCGCTGCCCCGTCAGGCAGCCCCGGGCCCGGCGCGTTCCGGCGGGGAAACCGGGCGGAGCCGGCCGCGGACAGAAACTTTCCCCAAGTCCCGCGTTATTCCCGGAGAGTGAAGAACCGACCCCCGCTCCCGGGGGGGGGGGGGGGGGGCCGCGGCCCGTTTCGGCGCCGCAGGGCCCCGCCGCGGGCGTCGCCCCCGCCGCTGGGCCGCCGCGCCCGCCCCGGCTATAGTGCCCACAACCCGCCGCCCCCCCCCCCCCCCCCCTCCGCCTTAACCGGGGCCCTCAGCTCGGCCCTGCCCCCGGCACTCACCGCTGCCCGCATCGCTCCCCGCCGAGCCCCGCGCAGCACCGAGGCGGCGGCGGCGGCGGCGGCGGCGGCGCTGCTCGCCGGGGCGGGGGGGGGGGGGAAGGAGGCGCGGCCGGCCGTGAGGGGAGGGAAGGGGTGTGGCCACCGGGGAGGAGGCGGGGCTTGAGGCCGCGCCGGCCCCACCCCCTCCTCATTCACAAAAAAAAAAAAAGGGAAGACCCGGCTCGCTGAATGGGCGGGAGCGCTGCCCGTCACGTCACGCCCACACTCCCCACCCCCGCCGTCCTCCCTCCTCTTCCTCGCCCCGCCCACCGCGCCGCGCTACGCCCAACCCGCGCGCGGCAGGAGCGGCCGAGTGGCTCAAATCCACCCGCCACCGCCGCACGGGCGAATCCGATTGGCGCAGAGAGATGCCCATCACTTCCCTCCTTCCCCCACCCCGCGCCCGAAACCCTCCGCGCTTCACGGTCGGAGCGCGGAAAGGGGGGGGGGGGGGAGGAATGGGGGAGGGAGGGAGGGAGGGGGGAAATGGGGGGGGGGGAGGGAAGAGCCGCGCGCCGCCGATCCCTTTAAGAGCGCGGCGGGCGGTGAGAGGCACCCGCCGCGATTAAAAGCCGGCGGGCAGAAAAGCGCGCGCGGCCTTAAAGGGGCCGGCGGGCCAGGCCGGGCCGGGCGGGGCGGAGCGGAGCGGCGGGGGGGGAGGCGGCGGTGCGCCGCGTACTGACCTGGGCGGCGACGGCGGCGGCGGCGGGCGAGGCTGGGGGCGGGGGGGGGGGGGGGGGCGGGGGTGGGGGGGGGGGAGAAGTGTGGGGTGTGGGGGGGGAAAGATGCGCGGCGATGGCCCCGGCGCGGAAACCGCGGCGCGCGCGCCACCAACGGACTCAGCCCGTGACGGGATCCGCCATCTTGGAATTTTTTTTTTTTTTTTTTTTTTTTTGAGGGAGAATCACGTGGTGAGACCATTTTTTTCCCGCCGGCCAATCAGGAAGCGCGGTTTATTTATAGCCGCGGCTCCCTCTTTTTTTCTCTCCCCCCCCCTTCCCTATCCCGCGGGGCCGGGGGGGGGAGGAAGGGAGCCAATCGGGCTCCGCCCTGTTTCCCCACGTCCCGCCCCGTGGCGCGGGGAGCCAATCAGGCCCCGCCCTGATCCCCCCCCCACGCCCCGCCCCGTGGGCGCGCGGCCCGTCGCCTAGGCGACGGCGCGGCCCGGGGTGGGGGCGCTGGGCCCGCGGCCCTTCAGGGAGCGGCGGGGAAGCTCAGGCTGTTCCCGGGTGGCTGCGGGGGGGACCCGGAGCGGGGTTCGGGTCTCCGAGGAGCGGCTGGGGCTCCCTCAGCCGCAGAGGCCCGGGCGTGGCGTGGAACCCTCCGGAGCCGGGGGTGTGGGGGGAGGCGGGTGATGGAGCCTTTGCTGAGCACCATCCCCTCCCACACGCTGCTTGCTCCTCACCCCGGCACCTCGTTGCTGAGAGCAAACTGCATGTTTTTAAGGATCAGGGTGAAGCAAAGAGGCCTCAGCGCTGTGCCGGGCAGCTGTTTCCAGAAAACCGTGCAAGCGTGGCCAAGTCTTCGTGTCCCTTCTCTCTCCTTGACCCGCCACTGCCTATAGTTTCCTCCACGGTTTTGCCTGTATCTACTAAGAGGTGGAAATGTAACGGAAAGAATAACTCAGATCTGGATTAATTGGGCTGTGGGAAACATGAGGTGGAGGACAGAACTAGCAGTGAAACAAGAGTAGGTGAAGCATTCTTTTGAAGAGAATTCTCTCACTTGTAATGAGAAAAGTTGAGCGTCTTTTGTCTTCTTCCATTAGGTAGTTTGACATACCTGAAACTATGGATTTTTTGATTCTCAGGATACTAATGGAGATGGATTAACTAGAGATACCATAGAAAATGCAAGCTGTGGTAGATACATAGTATTTTAATAGAACATGAAACTTTGTCAAGTTTTCTACATCCAAGATCCCACTCCTAAAGTGTTATTCTTTCGATCCATCAAGCATTATCTATAAAAAATGGCTTCTGAGTACACTGCTTTTAATAGCAAACAGCTGAATCAAGGTATAAGAACTGAGAAGGGGAGAGCATGGTTCAAAATCCTTGCAAATCTTTGCCTGAATTACCCATAGTAAAAAAAAAAAAAAAAAAAAAGGAAAAAGGAATTGTTCAGCATACTTACTTCTACCCATGTTTTCCTAGCAACCATTCAACATTTAATTGATTTTTCTATTTTCTAAGGAATTACCCTATTGAACTGTCAAGTCTCCTCTAGCTGCAGTGACTTGATTGGCCAAGCCCATGGCTGGCACAACTCTCCTTTTTTTGTTTTGTTGTTTTACCTTTGTTTTGTTGTTTTACCTTTGACTATCACAATGCCTGAAACTAAGAAGTCACGCTACAAATGTTCTGTATCACAGGAAACAAAATATTTCAGCATCTATATTAGCTGGTGTGAGAAAACTCAGCCAAGGGTACCTATGAGGCATGCTCTGATGGGAACATCCTGCTTGAGATGCATAAGGTGACCATCTCAGGCTTCACTGAAGAGATTGCCCATGGCCATGGAAAGTCTAAGTGCCAAATGCCACCACATCAAATGTTATTATTCCCTTTTTTGTGAGGGCTGTTAACTCTTTTTTTGAAGGTGAGCCATCGGGGCGGTCCCAGAAAGAAGGTGACCCCTTTTCTGTGCAGTGCCACGCTGTCTGAGGTGAAGGCCACCCGCACGCTGCCCAAACCTCTCCTCTCCCATCCAAGTACAACTTTCAGAGGCTTCTTGGGCTTCGTGCAGGTGGAGTCCTTGGCTTGTACAGAGTTGAAGGAGTCAGTGGTACCAGCCCTGTGGGCACAGTGGTCTGCTTTCGCGCCTCTTGTAGCAGTCAGGCTCCTAGAGTACCGTCACCCTGCCCTACTCATAGCCCATTAAATGCACGGGGGCTTCCCACTTAGCTCTCAAGGAGTTTCTTAACATCCCTGACTAAGACAACACGAAACATAACGTTCCTATTTGTAGGCAGCCATCCCAGCGCAATTCTGGTGGTTTTGATTAATTGGCTCTTGCTAAATTGTTTTTAAACTTCCAGATTTTCCTTAAAGAAAAACGAACTCCTGTAGTTCAGCCATCTGGATTTACATAAATTCTGGGACCTGACTGGAATCACTAACAACTTTATCCCTCCCTCAAAATTTACATATACATGGTAGTATATAAACACTGCTCCTTTTTTTTTTTTTTTCTTTTTTGAGATGTTTAGCAACTACATTTCCATTTGAAAGGGCCACCCATCTAAAAATCCTTGCCATATTGATCTGACCCCTACAGTTGCTTTTTTTCCCATGCTGTGAACAACATGCTCGGGTCTAGGCAGAGGTCAGAATTATTCTGACAGTTCCATCAGCAATTGCATCCCATTAACTTAGGCTTTCCAGACTTACTTCATTTTTAAGAGATTAATTTATTACTGTCAACATACAACAAACACTGTATTTTGATCATTCTAAACTTGAGCATGCAGGCAGCAGGGCCTGCCTTGGAGAAGCCCTGAAGTTTTGGAATATTCTCCCCGTAACATGCGCCTAAGAACACCTTTGGCATGAAAGGCACAGCTTCTGCATAAAGCTGAAGCCCTTTTTGTTTCCTTTTTAGCTTATCCTGGCTTGTGGGCTTGTTTGTTTGTTGTTCTTTGGTTGGTGAGGTTTTAGGTTTCCTGGTAGGGTTGTGCTGCTATCTTTATTCAGGGCCAGTTTGTATGCTCACATGTATGTATGTAGGTGTGTATAAATAACCTTCGAAATTATTTTTAAGTGTCTAGAGACGTATGAGTGTAAGTGCTTTAGGACTAGAAGTTTACTAATGCCAACTGCGTAGCCAACAAGGTAATATTTGCAAAGTCTGTGAGTTCCTCAGTGGATCTAATGATGGGTGGGCAGCTGGCCACTTTTTTTTGGGAAGGTGAACCACCGTGGTGGTCCTAGAAAGAAGGTGACCGCTTTTCTGTGCAGTTCCATTCTGCCTGAGGTGAAGGCCACCTGCACACCATTCAAACCTCCTGACTACCCTCTCTTGTGGCTCCCCATTTCTGGGACGGCCGGGAGATGGTTTGGTCACCAACCTGGGTTACAACCAACGTTTTGCCTAAGTGGTCGTGGCAGCTTCTAAACATCAGGGAGCCCAGGGTTATCCTACCTCCTGTCCTCACAGCCTCAGCACTAAGGGTTGGATGTTGTCCCTGCAGACTGTTGGCTACAAACCTCAGAGGCTACTTGCCTGACCGCATCAGTTGCCTACAATGCTTTCTGCATTGTGAAGTAGTTTAAAAAGAGGAAACAAGAGAAGAAAATTGTGCCCTAAAAGTTGCCATGGAGTGTAAGTTTTATCTTCAGAATTTGATTGATGCAGTACTAGTGCTTGTGGGTGTGAGTATGTGTATCTATTAATATCCAGTCTAGGCTAACCTGTGCATAATGACAGAAAATTAAACCTTGTCATTGTTCGTGTAAATTAGAGCTCAGAGATTAACAAGAAAAAGTATTCCTCCTATATGTTAAATCAAATTGTATATAGCATAGTCTGGTTTTACTGTAATTGCAGCTGAGAAGTTTACTCAGAAGCCATTTGAAGTAAAAAATAAAAATAAAAAAAAAAAATGGCAGAGCTAATTCATAAAGACTTAAATAAAATGCAATTACAGAACTTCCCGCCTACCTCCACCTCATCTTTAGCTGAACTCTACTTCTTTTTTGTCAGGAATGGTTCCATTTTTTTATGTTCTCAAGCAGGAAACAGCCATCACAACACTCCAGCTAATTTCCCTCTCTAGTCACATGGATCTGGTGAAAGTAAAACAGGGTGCCTCAGCTTTCCACGCTAATCCTGCCTCTGCCACCACCTCCATGGCCAAAGAAAAGAGTATCAAGGAAGAAAGCCAGCATGGACTTCCTCAAGAGCCTGGCCACTGGAGACCTACTCAAGTGCCAGTGCCACTTGCTGCTTTAGAGACGGTCAAGACTAAACACAGGTTTCTGCCTGGTGATTGCTTTCTCTTCTTCCTCCTGACCAGTTAGTTGCCATCATTGCTCTCCCCTGATATTTCTGTC